CTGGGATTACAGGCGTGAGCCACCGCGCCCGGCCCATCTGTACATCTTCTTTGGAAAAATGTGTATCCAAATCCTTTGCCGTTTTATAGTTAGACTGTCTTTTTATTATAGAGTTATATTTATACCTTCTGCAAGGAAGTTCCTTATCAGATACAGGATTTGCAAATACTTTCTCCCAATCTGCGGGTCGTGTTTTCACTTTGCTGATGGTTTTCTTTGAAGCAAAAAAGTTTTCTGTTGTTGTTTGGGTGAAGTGTTAGAACACTTACTGTGCTTTAAAGAGGAACACGTTTTAAGCACCCCCGCACGGGGCGGAGCGGGGCGGAGTCCACGGCGGGAAGGGACCCGAGGCCTCGGCTGCGCCTGCGCCGACGCCGGCGCGTGAGTCCGAGCTCGTGCCTGGCGGAGCGCGCGCCCGCCCCCGAGTGCGCCTGCGCGGAGCTCGTGGCCGCGCCTGCTCCCGCCGGGGGCTCCTTGCTCGGCCGGGCCGCGGCCATGGGAGAGGCCGAGGTGGGCGGCGGGGGCGCCGCAGGCGACAAGGGCCCAGGGGAGGCGGCCACCAGCCCGGCGGAGGAGACAGTGGTGTGGAGCCCCGAGGTGGAGGTGTGCCTCTTCCACGCCATGCTGGGCCACAAGCCCGTCGGTGAGCGCCCAGGCCGCGGACGCGCGTGGGGGCGGGGCGGGCAACCGGCGGGGCGGGGCGGGGCCTGCGCTCGCGACACCCGCGCCCCCACGCGGCCCCGCCGAGCCCGGGCCGTGACCACCCCGCCACACCCGTCCGGGACCCGCCCCCTCCCACGCGCCCTTCGGACCCCGCCCGCCCTACCCCCGTGACACCGCGAGGCCCAGCCCGCAGCGCCCACCCCCACCTCTGCCCCGGGACGCCCCACCCCCTCCCACACACACCACCCAGCCCTGCCCCCGACAGCCCCTCCGTACCCTGGCCCGCCCCATCCCACCGCGGCCACCCTTGCCCCTCCAGTCCCCAGGGCACCCTGTCCCCTCCATCACCTTTCTCCTCCCTTCTGACCGGTTGTCCCGCCGCCCCTCCTCCCCCCAGGTGTGAACCGACACTTCCACATGATTTGTATCCGGGACAAGTTCAGCCAGAACATCGGGCGGCAGGTCCCATCCAAGGTCATCTGGGACCACCTGAGCACCATGTACGACATGCAGGCACTGGTGAGCCCAGCCGCCCTCCCTGTGCTGCCCGATGGGGGCACGAACCCACACACCGCTGAGGGTCAGCCTGAGCTGGGCAGAGCAGAGGCTGGGGTCCGCTGGGCAGAGCAGAGGCCCCTCCATGCCTGCTGGGGTCCGCTGGGCAGAGCCCCCTGCAGTGAGACCCATCCTTAAGGAGGGCATCCCAGGGCTCCAGAGCCTGTCATGGAAAGCACAAACACAGTGCTAGCAGCTGGCCAGCTTTTCAGGGGGCCTGCTTTAGACTGGGTGCTGGGCCAGAGCCTCCAGCTGAGACCCTGGGGAGGGAGGGAAGGATGCAGAGTCCCCAGGCCCTTAGGCCCTTGTCAGCCTCCTGGGATGCCCCAGAAGTGCTTTAGGCAGAGGGTGACCCTATCTGAGTCACACCAAGGTGAATTTGGTGGCTTCTGTGGGAGTCAGGCAAATAGAGTCCCAGTCCTCACAGAGCTTGGAGCTGGCAGTGTGTGACGGGTGAGCGCGTTAACTAGGTAAGCAGGGTGGCCACAAGAGACAGGTGGGTGTTCCAGGCTCTGTGGCAGCAGGAGGTGGTGTACTTGGAGAATGGGTGGGGGTCAGGGGTCAGGTGACCAGGAGGAGTGGGGACCTGTGCTGGTGGAAAGAGTCTGTGCCAGCCACGCTGGACTCTGGGCCACACCAGCCCTTCCAGGAAGACATAGGGGCACCACTGAGGCAAGGAATGCTTGCCGTTGACATTGGTGGAGTGATATGGGTCTCCTTGTCATAGCTGTAGAAAGGGGACAGAGATGCCAGCCGTGCAGGGGCCTGGCTGTCTGAGGAGAGGAAGGATGCTCAGCCCTAGAAATGCCCTGGAAGCTTAAGCCCCTGTTGCTGCCGCGTCGTGTGTTGAGGACGTTCTGAGCCAGTGTGGCATTTGCACTGGGTGGCCAGTACCTAGTGGCCCAGACACAGCTGGCTACTGAGCTCACAAGGTCCTTCCTGGACCCGCTCCTCCCTAGAGCGTATCCATCAGCCATTGAACCCTGGTCACCACCCCTCAGGGTCAGAGGCCCCCTGTCACCAAACTCCCAGCAGCTTCTTGGTTGTGGGAGAGGGCACCAGGTCCCCAGACACCTCCCACACCGGGATTTGGAGAGATCGGTGCAAATCTATGCCTGTCTCTGGGGAAGACAAACAGCTCCAAGGCCCATAATGTCCCCTGGGGCATGAGTGCTGGCTCAGATGAGCACAGCAGCCCACATGACACTCAGGAAGCCATGTGGGACCGCCAGGCCTTTCAGCCCTAGGAATGTGGCCCTGTTCCTTATTCCTGCAGTGGCCTATGACATCAGTAAGGACTGGGCAAGACCACAGGCTGGCACTTTCTCTGGACCATGACACTTCTGTGTGACTGAGATCTGAGTCTTTCAGACCTTAGGAAATACAGAGCCCCTGGAGTACCCCCGAGAGGCTGACCAGCTGGCCCAGGAGATTTTGAGGAGCACAGATGTGGCCTGACTGCCTGTTCCATACAGCACCCAAACTGCCGAGTAGAAGCCCCTGTCTCCTGAATCGCCTCCCAGTCCAGGGCCCTTCCCGCCAGCTCCACTTTTCCCTGGCTTCCGGTCTCTCCCTCTGGTCTGTGTGACCTCAGGAGGGCAGTGCCTGGCAAGCACTCGGGTGGCCCTGCTCCATCTGCTCTTCTTCCTTGCCTGGTTCTGTGCCTGTGGCGCTCCCAACTGACACCCACAGTGTCCATGGGTTCCTGCCACGTGGATGAGAACTCGAGGCGCCTGCGGCGTTTCCCCAGGGCTGTCACCGTGCCCTCTGCACACCGCCTTGGGGAACGCAGTCTCTTGGTGAGACCGTAGGCCGTGGTGGGCAGGCAGGACCCACAGGTGTGCAGTCTCTTGGTGAGACCATAGGTCGTGGTGGGCAGGCAGGACCCACAGGTGTGCAGTCTCTTGGTGAGACTGTAGGCCATGGTGGGCAGGCAGGGCCCACAGGTGTGTGTCACCAGGGCTACCCGGTCCTCAGGGCCCACCTTAGTGATGCCGGCCCCGGTGGGTCTTCCTGACCCCTGCACGTGTCTCCACTGGTTCTGCCCTCCCTGGGTCTGTCTGAAAAGCCCAGCTGTAGCAGGCACTGTTCACAAAAAGAAGAAATGCCCTTTGCCCATGCCCCGCCCACCGCAGCCTCCAACACAGTGACGTGTGCTCGCTGGCTGCTCGCCAAGTGGCTCTTACATGGCTGTAGCGGCTTCTTGAAACCGCATCTTCACCCTTGTTTCTTAAAACTCTCTATTTGACATCAGCATGAGTCTGAGATTCTTCCATTCCCGAATCCAGAGAGGAACTTCGTCCTTCCAGAAGAGATCATTCAGGAGGTCCGAGAAGGTGAGACTCGGGAGAGGTTGGGCTTGGGAATCAGAAAAGGCCAGACCCTGGCCAAGGGCAGGGAGGTGAGGGTGAGGACCCCGGGCCTCCAGGGAGGTGTGAGGGTCCAGCGCAGACCCCGCCCCACCTGTGCTTGGGTGGTCTTGGAACCTCCGGGATTGGAGAGGACTTTGTTTGAGAGCAGTGGCTGGACGGAAGCTGAGGCCCGTGTGGGCAGCAAGCGTCGGAGCAGTCCCTGGCCTGACCATCCCCCAGCGTCGGCCACCACCGTGGGTTTTCGGTGAGCGTCAGCTGTCTCCTCCACAGGAAAAGTGATGATAGAAGAGGAGATGAAAGAGGAGATGAAGGAAGACGTGGACCCCCACAATGGGGCTGACGATGGTGAGTGTGGCGCTCACCCTGCCCTAATGCCCTTTGGGGCTCAGCACCCTGAGGCCACCCTCAGGCAGGGCACAGTCAGGTGGGCATAGAGCCTGCGGTGCAGAGGCCCCGGGCAGGACATCTAGGCACAGGATGGATCCTGCAGTGCCCCCTCCCCAGGAGCTGAGTTCGGCTCCGTGTTGTAGGCTGGGGTCTGAGCGGTGGTCCCTGCAGTGCCCACAGCAGGGAGGTCCTCAGGAGGACCAGGCCCCTCTGCAGGCCCACATGCAAAGGGCTCCCAGCTCAGGAGGAAGCTTTGGGTTCAGAGGGTCACGTGTCAATATGCAGATTTTTTTTAACTGAACAGGAAGACAAAAATAAGATTCTGGATATTCTGTTTTCAGCCAAGTGATTTTTCGTTTCTCAGTTTTTTCATCTTCAGGGAGTTTGGGGAAAGCAACAGAAAAATCCAGCAAAGACAAAGAGAAGAACTCCTCAGACTTGGGGTGCAAAGAAGGCGCAGACAAGCGGAAGCGCAGCCGGGTCACCGACAAAGTCCTGACCGCGAACAGCAACCCCTCCAGTCCCAGCGCTGCCAAGCGGCGCCGCACATAGACCCCTCAGTCCTGGCGGCAGCAGAGAAGCGGGTGAAGAGCTGTGGTCACTGACGGGGTCGGCTGGGTCTGAGTGCCACCCCCCAGGCCACAGTGGTATCACCCCAGTGCCGTGAGCCCACACTGCCCACCCTCAGGCTCTCAGGTGAACGTGGCCGTCAGCGGGGAAACGTGTGTCAGTTGGACCATGTGGGACCCTGATGGACCTGAAAGACCAGGATCAATCCAGCTCAGATGTTGAGGGCTCTGAAGCCTCGTTCTGTCTTCTCTGGAGCCGCTGTGGCTTCCCCGGGGCTGCTTGGTGACATGGATTAGCTCTACATGGGCTGCAGCGTTTGGGATCCAGGCTACCTAGAGGGGCATCAGGCCAGGGGAAAACCTCGGATTAGCAAGCAATAAAAACATGACCTCACTCTTCCTCAAAGGAGCCACTGGTCTTCCCTGCGTGACTCAGTTCTTTCCGTCTGTTTGTCCCGCTGCAAGCCTGTTTCTGCACTGACTGTGACATCAGAACATGGCCTTCCTGTCACCCTTCCATGCCACACACTGGCAGCCCCCCCTCCACCTGGGAAGCTAAGAACTGGATATTTTGCCTCATTCACTTGTACTGTAACAATGTATATAATTTGGTTGGTATTTCACTATTTAATTTTTAAGAAGCCTATTTTACTAGTGTTTTATATGAACAAAGTACTGCAGAAGTTAAACCTGTGTTGTATTTTTTCTGAGATGTTTTGCTTTAAGAGATACTTTTTGCTCAGTTTTTATATGCCAGATACAGAGAATTTGTAGCGGTTATTTTTGTATGATCTAGTAACTTGCAAACAGACCAAATGGGTGAGAGGCGGGACCGTGCAGCTGTCGGGCTGATGAGGAGGAGGTGGCCGCCCCAGTGCTGATGGAGATACCACTTTTGTGTGACTGCGAACATTAAAGCACAAAAAAATCCAACCTGGAGTTGTGTGATTTTCATACCAAAGTGAGTTAACTTTTCCTCCAAAAGGAAGTTTTTATTTTTCCAAGATTTATAACTAAAGCATACACTTAGATGACTTGTTAACATTCACTTGATACAATGTATAAACAAAATAGTAACAGATTCTGAGTGGTTATTTTGTGGACTGTGACAAGCACTTAAAATACAAAATGTTAGGAGGGCAAAGGTGTGGGCCCTGGTAGGTCAGGCAGGCACCAGCGAGCTCCTTCCTGCTGAAAGCTGCGGCTGCGAGACGAGACTGCTGGCTGGGCCGCAGAGGGAAGTCCAGTGTCCATGTGTGGACAGGGGGACAAGCGCTGTCCTGGCCAGCCAGCACACCCCAACGTCTTCAGCTTGACGCTGCTTCTCTGCCAGTGGAGTCTCCTCCACATGGGAACGTCCCTGGCCGTCTGTCCCTGGAGTCCTCCTCACCATGACGCAGATCACAAGGCACCCACTAAAGAGGCAAAGCCAGGAATCCCGTGGTGTGATCGCCCCGTGTGGCACCTGGTGCTGGTCTGCACCAAACCCGCTGTTGCTTCTGGGGCAGAAGAGCCCAGGGAAGCTGCTGGTCTATGGCCTGCCCAAGCTGCACTCCCAGGGTAGAGCAGCTGCCTGGGGGACCCTGTGGGTCCCTTTTCTATAGAGCCGGGACAAATCCACAGCCCTGCTGTAACAGCCTGCCACAAAGAGCAGGCACCTGGGGGGCCCCACACGCCTAGACCGAAGGACTGAACCTGCCTGGCATTCCTCCACTCACACCCCAAATACTCAGCCCTGCAGCCAGGGAAGGGTGGGGTCTCCCTTTGCTGCCCAAGCGTGCCCCCTTGCCCGTCCGATCTCTCCTGTGAGGTCAGCCTCAGGGCTTTGTGCCAGGTCCTGTCCTGGAGTCTCGATCTGGGACAGCAGTGTGGCTTCTAGGTACTCCAGAAGCAGCAGGGGAAAGGGGGACAAACGCTAACACAGGGTGTCACGGGATGGCCAGAAGGAGTCCTACTCTCCACCCAGGCTCACCGTTGTAAACCTCCATCTGAAACTGCATCTTGGGTGACCTGAGATTGTGCTGGGAAAGACTGGTTAATAAATCTGCCTTATCTCGATTACTGTAACATTTTGCTGCACTTTCAGGAGAAAGCGAGAGCCCACAGAGTAAGTAAGCCCACTGGGCAGGCAAGCAGCATGCCCCCCGCCCCGGGCCTCCCCTTCTGGACGAGAGGCTGACTGGTTGAAGTCAGGAGCCATGCAGCCCTTATGGACTCACAGGGACTTCCAGGCTTCCTTGTGGGGAGGCCCCGTTCATGTTCTGCTGGCAGGTGGGATGACCACATCAAATTCACGAGTGCTGGGGCAAGGGTGATGTGGCCTCCAGTCCTGGTCAGCGCTGTACTTACCCCCTCCTGGCCCTAGGGGTCCTGTCTCTAACCTGGGGGCTTTATGTAATGCATACTCCACCATGTCATGTAGAAGGTGCAGACTGAACACAAATCTGAAAAGGAAAACGGAGCTGGCATGAGGCTGACCCGTGCACCGACGCTCAGGTGCCTGCTGCTGTAGAGGCGAGACATGGCACAGTGCGCGCTCAGGACAAGATCTGAATGGGTCAGAAGCCGCCGCTGATGTTGAGCCTGGAAGCCTCAGCAGCGGCTCTGTGCCTGGGACACCCAGGGCCCGAGAGCACCTGCTGCCTCAGAGACATTTTCTCTATGGCTGGCAGCTGGGGTGGGAACTCAGTGAAGGCTGAGAGTGGGAGTGATCTGAACTCCCCTGCCTGCCCCACCCAGGGCGACCCAGGGGTGACTGGGAAAGGCAGTTGGGCTCTGCTGCTCCCCAAATAGCAGCGAATAAATACTGAGTGGCAGGGCACTGGCAGCCAGGCTCCCTGCTTGGCTGGTTGATTGAGGACAGGGCATGCTTGGGCCAAATCACGTGGCTGCCACTGGTCTTACCTGGAGAAGATATGAAGGCTGAAATCCAAGCCCTGAGCCACACAAAATTCTGCTGGGCTCCTTAGCTGTGAGCAACGCCTGCTCCAGTCACATCACCTACTGCATGTACAGAGACCATTGCCCTTCGTGGGTGCCTGGGAGCTGTGTGTGTGTGTGTGTGTGTGTGTGTGACAGAGAGGGAGGGAGGGAGGGAGCGGGGGAGAGAGAGAGAGAGAGAAAGTGACAGAGAAAGAGAGCCCCTTTCCCCAGCCTCAACAGCAAACCCTTCTGGAATGCCGAGCCATACAGGACGTCACTGAACTGCAGAGGACGCTCTGAAGAAGCAATACTGTTGCACAGTCCCCTGCAGCAGCTCCTGCACTTCTTGGATTAGCATGCCCCCGAAATGAGCTCTGCACGCACGCGCGCGCACACACACACACACACACATACACGACACAAAAGCAACTAAAGAAGAAATTTGGTGTGGTGATATTTGTAAAGAAGCAATTCAGTGTGGTGGTATTTGTAAAACACAAGTTGGGCAATGTCCCTTAATACTCTTTTTAGGGAAGTGGTTCTATATCCTGCCAACAGTAGGCAGCAGCAGGAATGCTGCCCCCTTGGAACAATGTTGTCAGCACCCAGTATGCTTGTCTTTCTGTTTTCTGGGGGCAGTGGAGGGAGTGGCCTGCCCACCCAAGTCTCAGATCATCCAAACCCTGTACAACCACCCAGCACCCATCAACGTCCCCATCAGAGCCTCCCCACCCCCACCCCACCATCTATTCTGATGCTGTAAGCAGATCCCAGCTGTAAAGCATCTAACAAGAAGGTCAGGCAGCTCACTCAGTCTCTCTGGGAAACCTGCCCTGGCCACTGCAGTAAGTTGATTTGCAGAAATGTCCAGAGCCCCAAAACTTCGGGGAATCACTACTGTCGTTTTAAGAAAGGGAGATGTATGTCCACAGGTTCCAACCACTAACACCAGTTAGCACCTGCTAACAACGGTCAACAGGTCAGCAAAGATTAGGGCCCAGCGCCCAGAGAGTCCTTAACCTGTACTTGTGACCAGGATCGGAACACTTCCGTTCACGGCTATCCCTGGCACATAGTACAAGGAATGTCACCAGTTCCCAGGTCCAGGTAGCCTGAGGCCTGCCAATGGGCCTGCAGGGCTAGGAGATGGCAGTGTCCCCTGGGGGCTGGGCTGGGGCCCGCTCCACCTGTCCACCACCATCATTCCAGCGACAACTCTGCCGGAAGCTTCCTCATGGCCAAGTCCAAACTCCAGATTTAGTTTTACCTAAATTTTTTGAAATGAAGTGGTATAGTAGTTACAGAAGAAGTTTATCTGGGGTGGTCACTCCTGATTTGTATTCCAAGAGGTCACCAACTTTGCCATGTACCACCAGCAGATGTCAAAGGTGGATGAGCAAGGGACCCGCGGTGCTGGGAAACGGCAGCTGAAAGTGACTGTGTGCTGCCCCAGATCTGCCAGTACTTAGAGAGACGGCCCTGAGGAGGCACTGGGCTGGCATCAGCTGTGTTGAACCGTCCCCAGGGTGACCCTCCTGGTGGCCCAGGCTTCGTGTGCTCCTCTCCCCTAAGTGCCTTCTTACAACTGAGAGAAGATGGCGAGAGAAGATGACAGCTTGCCCATGTCATCTTGGTTATATAAGACTCGGCACCCTAGAGAGAAAGACTCCCCTGGTGGCTTCGAAAAGAAAACAGACATGCTTCGCACTGCCTGTGGAGGGACAGGGGTCCGCCAGCAGCTTCCAGGAGCTGAGTAAGGCCCCCGGCCCGCAGCAAAAGGACAGGGACCCCCACAAACCCAGCTTAGGGAGAGAGGCCCCTGTGGACCTGTGGCCCCTCCAGGGGCCATTCTTCTGATGGGGACATCCTCGGGGGATTTCTCTTGGGGGACAGAAATATTCTTGGAAGGGGGGATTATCTGCGGGGCAGGCGTCCTCCGGGGAGAGAATCCTGCTGGGAGAACATCATCCGGAAGACATCCTTCCGAGGTACCCGGCTCATCTTCCGGGAGACGGTCCTCTGGGGGGCGGGCAGCCTCTGGGGACATTTTCGGGAGGGAGGATCTCCTAGGGCGGGCATCCTTGCGAGACGGGGTGGGGCGAATCCTCCCGGGTGGGCATCGTGGGGTGGGGGTGGGCGTTCTACGAGGGGCATCCTCCCGGGCGGACGTTGGGGGATTCTCGGGGGAGGGAGGGGCGTTGCGCGCGGACGCGGGCGGGGCCTGGGCCGCTCCCTCCCCTCCCCTCCCCCGCCCCGCCCCGCCCCCCGTGCTTCCTCCGCTTTAGGTTTCGCTTCCGCCTCTAGCGCGAGCCCCGCCGCCGCGGAGCATGGACGACCCCGACTGCGACTCCACCTGGGAGGAGGACGAGGAGGATGCGGAGGACGCGGAGGACGAGGACGGCGAGGACGGCGAGGCCGCCGGCGCGAGGGACGCGGACGCGGGGGACGGGGACGAGGACGAGGACGAGGACCCGGAGGAGCCGCGGGCGGCGCGGCCCAGCGCGCTCCAGGTGCGGCCCGCGGCGCTGACGAGGCCTGGGGTCCCCGGCGCCCCCCGCCTGGCTGCGTGGACCGGGGACCCCCCCTCTCCCGGGCGGAGACACCTGGGGTCTCTTGGAGCTCCCGCAGCCCCGGGGACCCCACCCCAGACCGGCCGACCCCGGCCCCAGGGCCCAGCGGAGAAGTGCGGGGGCCGCGCGTGGGTGATAGAGCCTCCCGGGCCCCATCGTGCGTGGGAGCCGTTTCCCCCAGGGGTGCCTCGGGCGCGTCCCGTCTCCGACCGCCGTGGCCGCCCCCGATGGGACCCCTCCTGCCTCAGGCCCGCGCCTTGGCCTCCTGGCGGCCCCTGCGCAGGCCCCGTGGCCTGGGGCTGGGTCTGGAGCCCGGGCCGGGGCCGGGTCTGGCTGGGAGGCTTCGCTTCTGCACCTGCGGGAGCCCGGGGCTGGCTGGTGGGGCCTCCGCCTGTTACTTTTGTTACCGCCGGGCGCCTGTCAACGCCACGGTTACTTTTGTTGCCAGCGGCTCCCTGAGCCGCGCTGGGAACGCCGCATTGTCACAGTCCGGTCCCGGTCGGGGAGCTGGGATTTTTTTGGGAGCGCCCTTCCAGCTGAGCTGCCCGGGTTGTGGGGCCCGGGAAGTATCTGGAACTCCGAGCCATAGGCTCCGCATGGTTTCTCCCCTTGGCACCCAGCACTGTTTGCGTTTGCGCCTGGCCATGGTGGAGTGGGCAGTGAGAGAGCACGGAGGGGCTGGGCCCTGTCGCCGGGAGGGCAGCTGCCAGGCAGGCTGGGCGGGGGGGCGGGGTCTGGCACTGTCCCCCAGGACGGCGTGACCCCTGGGTGAGCTCTGACGGGCTCCCCTCACTGGAGTTGCTCAGGCCACTCTCCTGAAGCGGTGCTCAGAGGCCCTGACCATCCTGCCAGGCGCCTGTGACCTTTGACCTCTTCCCTTCTGCCTTCTGCTGTGGCTTCTGTCCCCAAGCCCCTCCCCTTCTCCTTCGGACCCCTCAGGCCTCCTGAGCTGCCTGCGCTGGACCCTGGCGGGGCTGTTTCACTTTCTCCTGGGCAGTGTCATGTGTGCACCTGTGGGCTGACTGTGGCCACATGCAGTCAGGACCCAGCCTCCAGAACTGACCCAGGGAGGCTCCCGCTGGCCCCAGGAAGAAGTAGAAACTGATGGCTGGGCCGGGCGAGAGAACCACAGGAGCAGGCCCTGTTGAGAAGTCAGGCTGAGAGGCTGGTGGTGGTGGCTCAGGCCTGTAATCCCAGCACTTTCGGAGGCCTAGGTGGTCAGATCACCAGAAGTTAGGAGTCCAAGATTAGCCTGGCCAACATGGTGAAACTCTGTCTCTACTAAAAACACAAAATTAACCAGGCGTGGTGATGGGCACCTGTAATCCCGGCTACTCGAGAGGTTTAAGCAGGAGAATCACCGAAACCTGACAGGTGGAGGTTGCAGTGAGTGGAGATTGCATGAAGCTCCCATCTCCGGGGAAAAGAAAAAGAAGGAAATCAGGCAAAGAGGCAATGCCAGGCCCCAGCCGGAGCTCAGCGGGGAGCCAGGGGATACAGTGGCTGACTGGGCCTCCCAGACCCCCTTCTAGCACTCCCCGGGGATCCTGGGTCCCAGTTGTTGCCCTGGACAAGCACACCCATTCCTGCCCTACCCACCGAGTGGGGCTCAGCCCCAGCCCCCCTACCCTCATCACAAGGTCAGGGCTGTGTCCCAGCATCCTCATCACTAGGTACTTCCAGCCCTTTGCTTAGCCTCATGATGCTTGGCCTGCAGAGATGGGGGCTGAAGGGCTTGGGGCATCAAGAGGACCTGACGTCTTGCTGAGAAGCCATCTCCAGATAGGGCTGGAGGCTGGAGACTCAGGGCCTGACCTCACCATGGCCAGTGAGGTGTGGGGTTGGGCAGGGAAGGGGCATTCATTCATGAGACCCTGCCAGAAGCACCTGGGTCCCCTCCTGGGGCTATAGGTGGTGAGGCCACTGCCCCCAAGAACACGGCCTGGTGACTTTAGAGCACAAAGCAGGGGGG